AAGATTAACGCCCGCGCGCACCGTCAGTAAGGAGTAAATCCCCGAATTTTGGGGCGCGCTTGCGTGTCGCGTGCAGCACACTCGCCAAGTTACCACGCTTGTACGTGACGATGGTGTCACAACGTTACGTAACCAACGACGGCAGGGACGCGATCATAACCGAGGGTGCTCGGAAAAGCGGAGCGGTTTGTTCTGAAAACAAGGTCGCGAAACGCGAGGTGCGCGACAGTCAGCAGTTTTTAACGCCAATTCCACTGGCGGATGTTTCATTCGTAACACGTCGCTGAAGTAGAGAGAGAGAGAGAGAGAGAGAGAGAGAGAGAGAGAGAGAAGAGACGATCGGGGGTAGATAAAAGGCAGAGACGAGAGGAAGCTTATCCAGGTGCTCGTACAATGTCGAAGCTGCGAGCTCGGTTCGTCGCAGGGAGAATAAAAGTCGCGCGATTCTTGGTGGTACCCGCGACGCGAGCGAACGAAAGAGAAAAAGAAAGAGAGAAAGAGGGAGAGAGGGAGAGGAACTTCCCAGGTGAATGTTCCTCTTTCTTTGAGATTGCACACACACACACACACACACACACACACACACACACACACACACACACACACACACACACACGCGGTAAGAGGGCAACCGAGCGTGCGCGAATCGATGAATACCAGCCGATTTCGATCGTGCACTCTCGATTCGTCCCCGACGGCAGAATGACGGGAAAAAACCGGAGAATGGCGGTGAGTCATGTCGTTGGCGTTCTTCCGCGAGCGCGACCATTCATTCCCCGATTCGTACCTACACCGACGACCCACCTTCCCGCCGGTCGCCGCGCGTCCGGATCCGGTATAGAATTCCGTAAGCACCCATCGAGCTGATGCGGTAGACCTATCTGTTCGTGCAGGGCGGCAGAGTAGTTCACGAGAAAGCAAGGGAGAAAGGGAGGAGGGAAGCGGGGTTGGTTGATGGTAGCGAGCGGCGACAGATTCGTAGGGCGGACGGCGAGGATTGAATCGCGCGATTCAGCCGTGCTATCCTTTTTAGCTTTCTCTTCTTCTCGGCTCGGATTCAGCGTACGCGAGCTTTTAAACTTTCGAAACTGTAGCGTCGTACTTGAAAATGATGCCATCTACCTGCGTGACGTCGATTACCTCGTTCTTTACGTCCGTCGACATGGGGGAAGTTGCTTTCGTTTCCTTTCGGTTCCTTTCGTTTCATTTGTTTGTTCGTTCGTTCGTTCGTTCGTTCGTTCGTTCGTTCGTTCGTTCGTTCGTTCGTTCGTTCGTTCGTTCGTTCGTTCGTTCATTCGGCCGGCCAGTTGGCCGAAGTCGGGAAATTTGTCGTTCGCGAGACACTGGCGCGTTACGTATAGAAATTTCAGGACACTATTCAACATTGTCGCCCGTAGAAACCCGGCCCCTTCGCCGCGACCCTTTCGTGAGACACAAACGTCTATTTTCTCGCTTTCGGTAGTCGCGGTTAGCGGAACTACCCGCTGAAAGGAAGTTAATTTTTGCGCCGCAACGTCGCGTCGATTCAGCGTTTAGCGACCCGTTGCGCGAGAGCGTCTAAAATGTAACGCCGGTAGCTACCACCAATGTTCGCGGCTCCCTCGAACCGAGGAGCGATGCATACAGAAGGGTTAGGTGGAGAGGCAGGAGGAGCGTATCGTGAATTGCATCGATGTGCCGCGATAATGGCCGCTGCGGATGTAGCGCGACGATACACGCAAACGGGAAAATGAATAATCCAATGGACACATTGGCATTGGACAAAGTTGCCATGATTTACGAGACACATTGTCTGTTCCGCAACACAAGAGAACATCGCGTATCGCATCCGTGGATTAAGCTGATTTCGCGCGATGCATATCATTTTAATACGTCACGCGAGCGCGCGCACGTTGAAAGGACTGCTGCAGATTTTCCAAGATCGCACGCGCAATCCGAGTGCACAGCGTTGTCGAGAATTGCAGGTGTTCTTTTTTTTATGTTTCTCGTTGCTTTCATCGCGGCGAAAATTAATCGTTTCAATATATCATGATTTTTCTTCTATTTCATCGTAAAATATGACTTCTCGGAATTTAATATTTCTTAAATTTAATATTTGGAGCAAAGAAAAGAATATTTCTGAACGAAACGACGCACAAACTAATCGTCGCGGATTTTCGTACTTGTATCAAAACTGTGGACATTTTTCTTTGATTTTTAATCACGATTTTCTACACATTAACGATTTCTCCTTGCCTCTCTTTCAAGTTATTTACGATCCACAACATGTTATTGCGCGCGATATAAGAGTGCCTACTTGTTTACACAGCATCGTTGTTGATTCGTTTTGCTGACCCGCTCATTATCAGTCTAATTATCACGGCTGATCTGATTTACCATGAAATCGAATCCACCAGCGGTGTTGCTGATTCCGCCGGTCTTAACGTTTCGCACTGTTGAATTAATGAGCGACATTGTATCGCGCTTAGAAATGTGCTCCAACTGGAGAATCGATGCTATCTGATCTTCCGCCTCTCGATTATTATTCACGATGTGTGTGTGTGTGTGTTTGTGTGCATGTATACAGGCTGTATATGTATGTATAAAGGATGTATCTAAAAGTATGTTACAAATTTTGATGGCATATTCTAGGAGTCAAAAGAAGAAAAAAAAGTTCCTATAAACATGAGTCCAAAAATGCTTTCCCTCCAAGTTATAGCCCCCTAAAGTTGGGGGGAAAAAGGTCATCGAAATTTTGCACAGCGTAATAATTAATAGTGATCTCGATAGTGACCTTCATTTTTACGTGATTTTGATAATTTGATCAGATTTTGAGGAGGAGATATATAGGGGGGTGCTAATTTTCAAATGGCCATATTCGATACGACGAAAAATAAAAGAATATGGCCATTGATTTGAAAATTAGCACCCCCCTCCATATCTCCCCCTCAAAATCGGACCAAATTATCAAAACCACATAAAAATGAAGGTCACTATCGAGGTCACTATTAATTATTACGCTGTGCAAAATTTCGACTCTTTTTCCTCTCAACTCTAGGGGGCTGTAACTCGCAGGGAAAGCACTTTTGGACTGATGTTTATAGGAATTTCTTTTCTTATTTTGACCCCTAGAATACGTCCTTAAAAATTGTAACATACTTTTAGGTACACCTTATATATAAAGCAAAATTGAGATTTGCACCGTGCGTGCGCACAAAAGGCAGAAAAGGAGACAATAGTAAAAAACATTATTTGATTCCCTTTTGGAAAAACCTGTAGCTCGAATTACGCGCTCTGATAATCGTCAATCGATTCACCATTAACCCCCCATTCATCGGCGTTGTAGACTATGCTGGATAACATTTGAATATTTTGGTCGACGCGCATTCGCCAATACTTTTTTCTTGTCTTCGCTTTTCGTTTATCACGTGATCGTTATTAAACAAGATTATATCAATTCAATTGACATTCACGCTGACGTAATGATACGGGATGAGATAAGAACTGTCAGGCACTTCTCTTTATTGGGATACCATCTAGCCCGGTTAATCAAACGCGCCTTCGCGGAAAGAAATAGACATGTTGAAAATTATCAAACGTAAACAACGAGCAAGAGATCGCGCCTGCCGAAGTGTAAACATCGCCGAGGTCACATTAACGAGGAACGCAGTTGCTAGTATTTTTGCTAGCTCGAAGCCGAAGCACGAGCGTGAGAAAAAATATGTCGGTATATATCGAGGAAGAGACTGCCGTAGCAGTGATTCGTTAAATTTTCTTTAATTGACACTGCATAAACATTATGCATATAAAATATCAGATTAATATTCTCGTATAAAGTGTTGCAAAAAGAAGCTAACTTCAATGCAATCAGTATAATTTGTCATTTGTCAAATATATATTTTATCGATTATCATTCTCAAGGTTTCGCGTATAATTTTTCGCAGAATAAATATTTCCGCAATAATCAGAGAGGAAGCAAACGGTGCTTCTCGCAATTCACATTTTTATTAAACTAGATATGAACGCATATTATCGCGCACTATTTTTTATTATCTCTGGTCGAAAACCAATGCGATTTATATATGAGCATGCATTATAAAACATGACGCTTTCTGAGCGTTCGATCTGCACACTCACCGACTTTCGTTGACTCCTGTGACACCTGCGAGTCTGCATCCGTCCAACGTCCAGTCTCCTCAGCATCCAGGATAAGTTTCTTTCTTCATAACATTTTGTCGCTTTTTCTTTTTCTTTGTTTATCTTTTCTCTTTTATTAATTTCGATAAGATTTAAGGAAAAGGAATGGCGAGACGAAAAAGCATATATGGTCGCATTCAAGAGATGAGATTTTTATCCCAAAAAGAAGTAAACACGATAAATTGCAACGTTCCGAGAATGTATACATGAGATCCGATTCGCGCAGAATCAATCGCGAATGAAAATTACGACGTTTAGACAAGAGAGAAAAAACGAAAATGTCTTGTTTCGCGAACGGTAATCCGAAAGAAACGCACGTCTTGTTTCGTAAGGACTAAGTTGTAATGTAAATAAACGCGTGTACTGAATTTATCGGTAATTTCAAATGAAATATTATTGCTTCTGACACGCGTGAAAAATGTAGAAAATTGATAAACTCGACAGACATAAAATTTATCAAGCCGAATAAGATAAATAATGGTGAATTTCACGTGCGATGGCGCAATTCTGGTCAAATTTTAACATTACACACTACTCGAAGCAGGAGTTATATTGATTGAATCGCAGCAAATAATTCCATATCTTGATTTCAATATAATAACAAACTAAAGCATTTATATCTGTATCTTCTAATGATTCAGAGTAAATATAAAAGAGAAATATATATTATATCTTAAAGATTCTGTTGTGTAATACGGTCATTGAAAGACACGATCTCCTGATTATTTCGAGCAACGTGTGAAAGTGTAATAAAATCGCATTGATTTTCTCGAGATATTGCAAACACCCACCACCATAAAAATGTCTTTTCTTCTCTGACTCACCGATACACAGCAGACAGAGTCAGCCGCGTTCTGCTGCGGATCTGTAACAAAAGATATAGTTTCGTTAGTTAAACCATTAGATTAAAAGTTAGGTTAGGTTGAGTTCAGTTGGCGGAAGCGCGCGCGCAGATACAAACGTTGACCCTTTGTCATCGTAGTTCAACGCTTTTATTCCAATCGCTCGGTTTTCGATCGCAATGAATCAAGAAGAAGTGTACAAACGATCGATGAACCTCACCTTCAAGCCGACTCTGCTCGGCCCGAACCGGATCCTCCGGTGCGGCATCGGCGTCCGTCGAAACTGCGTCCTGGTAACCGCAGCTATCGCGTGGTCGCAAGCTCCAGCAGATCTGTAACAAAAAACGAGTTTCCTCATTAGTATTACAGCGACAAATGCGCCCCGTATCAAAAGACTCGAGACTACAAATTAGCTTCTTCAACTTAACCAAGTTAACCAATAAAAGTTTACCTTAAAGACCATGAAACACTGCTATTGCTCAAGATGTTCCGGATCGCGTCATGCATGCACGCACACACACACGAATATTACACGTTACACGCGCGCGTACACTGTGATCGTACACTGTGAAAATTCGGAAATTATTACACGCGGCGATACGCCGATCCGTCCGCCGTCGCGGCGTAAACAATAATGGAGGCAGTCGCGGTAGTTGCGTACTTATGAACATGTTTTCAAAGTCGCGCGACCTTGTCCCGTCGGGACACGTCTCAGAGAGCCCGTAACATTATATAAAACTTACCTTTTTAAACAAAAGGGTAAAAAGAGGCGCCAAGTACACGCGCAACACATATTGTATTTTTTAAAATTTCAAATTATTATTTTTTCTTTCAAGTTATATATGTAACATGAAATTTTACAAGTAAAACTTATAACTATAATAAAACTCTACAACACTATTCTACTTTACAAAAGAAATGATATATTAAAATAGTAACGTCAACTGAGAAACCTAACACATATATATATATATATATATACGATTATAATATAATTCTTTATTCAAAATAAACGGCAATGTTTACGCTTTTAGTACTGCGCATCAGTACCGCACCAGAGCGTGTATCTTTAGGCAATGTAATTTATTATTTTTGTTATACAAGTAATAAGTTTGTACAAGTAAAACTTATACCTCTAACAATAAATTCTTCTATTGAATACTACAAATAAAACTTGACAAAACTGTTCTACAAAAAAATGATATAACAAAACAATAGCATCAACTGAAAAACTGTACTCAACATCAACTCTGCAAATGAGAGCGATTGGCAATCTGAAGATAATTATATCGAAAACTTCCGATGATACACAGTCCGGTACTTCAAAAACAGTGTCTTCATTATTTACTAGAACACTGAGTTTTGTGGTTATTTTACTTGTTATTATAATAAATTACTTATTATAACAATGCAATAAAAAATATTTAATATAAAAAATCTTGGCTTCCCCCCCTCTCTCTCTCTTTCTCGCTCTCGTTCTCGCTCTCGCTCTCTTTCTCATTTCTACTCTTGTATTCTAGCAATATTCTTCTCTCTCTTACTCTCTATTGCTTGCTCACTCGCACTCGCTGCTTCTTCAGTGCGCTCATAACGCTTCTGGTATCGGAAAAGTGAGATGCACAAATCCCCTCTCCTCTGCGGTCTAGCGTTTCTTATTTTCTTACTGAATCGAAATTTTCCGTGATTCGGATTTTATCTTAAAATATCTACACTTAGAGACAACGTACACAAAAAACACAAGGACACTTTTCTTCCTATTTTTTAAGACCGAATTGATTGGGACTGAAAAAAATCTTGATCGGTTTAGCCATTGTTGAGATATGAATATCTCACCTCGTTTCAATTTGCAATTTCGCGTACGTAATATAGGCACGGTGTGCCTCGCGCCGTTCGGGTGCAACTTCGTTGCGCTTGAACTTGGTGCGAGGCACTACCGTGCCTCTTGATAAATGATATTGTTTGGGTTAACACGTTCCTCGCCATATTTCATCCGCTCCGGCATCAAAACCATTTACGAAAAAGACATAAATTGCGATCAGCTTGTGCGTACGTGTGTGTGTGTGTGTGTGTGTGTGTGCAAGTGTGCGTGTGTAATCCAATTATATTCAGAGTCTCGCACCGACCATGCGAGATCGACGTTGTTTTCCAAAATATTTTTTCCTCTTCCATTATTTGTGCAGGAACGACAATGTTAGTTATGACGTAACGAAACTTTTGATACATGCATGCACTCGTAAATTCAATCTATAAGACGAACTCCGCACGAAAGCTTATCGGAAATTAATCGTATTAAAGTCACGAAAAAGATGGCGAGACCAGCAGAATTCGTGCGATTCTTGTTAGTCAATAATCGGGCGGAGGACGATTCTCGAATTAAACCAGCGAATAAGTGACATAGCGCGTCAAAACGTACGTCGGAACTTGTCCTAATTGTCAACATTGTTTGCATTCATTAATGAGGAGCGTGAATACACACACAATATATGCGCACTTCGAAATATCTAATTAAAACTCTATTGTTGTCATTTATACAAGGCATTCGCGCGAATGAAAAATGCGCCTCGCGCGCGCGTGACACGAAATTATTCATAGCTGAGTAAATCAGAAAATGATGACGCCAACAGGCGGAATTTAAGCGCTAAATTTCGACGGTGAGTTATTGTGCGTGTTGTAAGGGAACATTCCCGGCATTTTTTCACTTATTTCACTACTTATTTTGCATTCATGGTGTAATGCAAAATGCAAGGTAATCACATCCACGGTACTTTTTTCTTATTCCCTATTGATCTAGTTTCTTCGATTCTCATTCCCGTTGTCTCCGCTTTCAGCAGAAATTCTATTGTCCCGCTTGTCAGAGACATTCGGAGTATTATTGTCCTCGACTTTCCAGGAGTCGCACGACTCATCTAAAGCGGAGGAGCGAGGGAGAGAGGAGGTATCTTTTGGCGCCGACGATAGTTGGCAGGTAATTAATCGCTTTCTTTAACATCTGGCGCGTCGCAAGGTTGTCACGCTGGAAAATCACAGCTGGTATTCTCGTGGCGCATTTCACGCTAGAGATCGCTCGCTGTCCGACCTCAAATCTCCCCGTGGCCGGGGTAATTCGAGATTGCGCAAAGGACACGCGCCAATAGTCGCGTCTGAATATCAGAAATTAAAAACATTATCGTCATCCGTAAGAATCGCGCCCTCCAAATCCTGCCGGTGCTCGCTCGATGTGGCGCTACTTTTCGACTCTTTTTGAGACTCGCGTCGATTAAATTTTTCGCAATTTCCGTCAGCTGTCCATCGCGAAAGGCGCGGAATGTCGATAAACGGCAAGCCGATGCGGACGCACCGCACGACGTAGCGCGATATCCACTGCGCATTTTGCGCGGACACACCGTCCTTCTCAGTCGCGTAATAAACCCGTTTGAGCATGCGATCAAAATGTCTGCGGTTTCTATTTCCCGTGACCAAGGTACATCGCGCTCTGGCAAGAGATCAAGATACCGCACGTAGCCACACTAACCCTCCTGCGCTGCCATTATCCTGCCCAAGCCAACCGCAGTGGAAGGAAGGAATTCCGGCTGATTACGCCGAGTAATTTTTAAACGCAGAGATTATCGCGATCGTTCTTAATTATTTAATTAAGCTTCTCGCGCGGCTGGGGTGTTTGGTCGATTCTTTAACGTTTCCCGTATACTTCGAAATGTCACCGTCGCTCGACGTCAGACGGAGTTATTGGGACGCGGGGTATGTTGTATCGATTCGGTGATTACTCGGCTGATTACTTTCCGGCGGTATCGCGATACCTTTAAGAGCATGTGAAACAATTAGTGTCATCGTTACGTTATCACTCTGTATTAGTGATGAACGACCGCGATTTGATTTTTTCCTTCAAAGATTGATTTTCTAAATGGATCTTTTTCTGTCTGATTTCTATACAAATCGACTCTCTCAAACGGCGACCCCAATTGAATTCTTCATTAAACGAAACAACATTAATGAATAAGTATATTAGCGAATCGAAAATCGATTCTCAGTTGAAGAAACCAATTTGAAAGAACCAATTTGAACCAAAAATCGAAAAGAACAGAAAAGAACAGATCTAAAAGGATCGATTTCTGCAGGAGAAAGATTGATGATTCCCTGAAAACCGAAGATCGAGGTCGCTCACCACTACTTTACACATGATTATCATGATAAACAAGCTTAGAATTTATAATTTCGCAAAGCAAACGCGTTATTCAATAGTGAGAATGTTAGCAGAGAAGATAATATAGAAAGTAATAAATGTCATATAACGCTAATTTGTTGGGAAAAGTTCACTGATAATACCAATTTGGTAATTAACAAAGTGTTAGTTTCCCCCTTGTGAACGCGCGCGAAGCGCGCGTGCATTGTAATCATTGAACTACGCTTTCGAAATAATTCGAAATTTAATTCTGACATGCGCGTGTGACACTTTACGTTATTGCGAATGTATCTCGATAACCTGCGGCGGTTATATGTTATAACGAGTGGACCGAGGCTCCGATTTCACGTTTCATATTACAGTCCATTTAACATTACATTGTACTTTCTATTACTATTACAGTATAGGCACTCCTGGCACACGATGAAACCGCAAACGATTCGATCGGGATCGTCGCCGCAATGCGATACAGTTTCGCACAATTGCTCACTAACCGCCGCTGAAATTACTCACTTTCGGTCATGAAGAGCTCACTTGTCTTTCTGTCGTCCACAAAAGGCGCGACACAATATCGGTCGTGGTCTCGCGAGCACCGAAACTTCCTAAACCCTCGCATTATGTGAAGACTTCCTCTCTGGGACGAACACACACACACACACATATATGCACGCGCGCGCAAACACACACACCTACACATACGCGAACTCGAGTGCACCGTCTGGCCGTTCTTTCTCTCTTCCGGGGAAATTCCATCATCGCCCTTGTCAGAGACAATTGGAGTATTATCGTGCCTCCTCGACAACATCCGGAAACTCGGCGAATCGACGCGGCAAGAAACCTCTCAGAAAGACGTCGATAACCCTACGTCACCGTTAATAAAGGATCACCTCGGCCGCCAGCTCGGTCGTTGTCGTCGTGATAGTCGTAGTCGTAGTTATAGTCGTCGTCGTCGTCGTCATAGTAGCGCCGAGTTCTCTTTTGTCGGCAGACGACTGGCTACTTCCAATTGTCGATACTTAATCAAACTTATTATATCGGGCAATCCGGACTTTCGGGGCTCTTCGCTCACTTCGAGCGTCTAATCGCAAAACTTTCAAGGTTTTTGCCGGACAGCTGCTCTTTCCAGCGCGCCGTGAAGAAAAACAGCTGTCTAGCTCGGTGATGTATCTGCCGCTTACGAGGATTTTTGCGAGCGTTTTGCTGATATCAGGATAACGTTGCCTTGAGGACTTCGCGACTCTGTGAGTGGCTGCAGCAATGTCAATTCGGACGATTGACGTGAAAACGAGAATTGCCGACGGGATTATTGCGAGAAGTGTGTGTGTGTGTATGTATGTG